CAGAAATATAAAAGCCAGATAGAGCGACGGAAACTCCCCAGGCTTGACAATATTTAGAGTCTAGTTTTGTGCAACCTCCGAATTTATGTCGACTGTTTTGTAGCTGGATTCGTCGACACACTGCAGTGCCACTTTGTTTACCTTAAACAGTTTGTTGTAACTAAATATGGATGGAGAAGAAGGCGTTCATTTCTAAGACAACGGATTAAGTGTATTGACGGATTTTATTGGGAGTCCACTGAGAACTGCTGTGCTCTGTAGCGAAGACAGACATCAGTCCTCAAATCGGGCCCGTGGTCAATCCACCCTTTCCAATTACCATTCCGTTCACGGATAGCAAGTCGAAGGTTATCTACTCTTCACCATGTGTCGGGTGTGGTTCCTTAATCTTCTACTTCAAGATGCTTCAATTGACGATTCATCTTCGTTACCACTGGTAGCTTTCCTCAGTCTTTATGGGCTTGTGAGTGCTATGACAATTTAGTAGAGGGGGCGGGGGAAACGTGGGTGAGATTAGGTGCATATCAGATACAACTTACATGTGTTTACGACTCCTTCTGATAACCGTACACCAACACGTGTCAGCCCGGTTGATCCAAAATCGTCCACCACACGCTTGCCAGTTCTACGCATTCTATTCTATTGACACTGGGATGGTTGGTGATTACCACCACCTAGACCACCATTCTCTGTGGCGTGGACCGTAGTCCTCGCTCCAAAACCCTACATTTTCTAAACCTATCTTGTGTCCCATGTCCAGTGCACGTTCCGCCATCACCGTGTCTTTCAGTAACGCTCGATGTTCATCTGCGTTTTTTGTTGTTTACTTTTCTCCTGCTCTGAAGTTCCCTGGACGTCTGTCCTATGTGGACCTTAGTGCAATCGTTTGTAGACAAAGTCCCTGGTTCTGTTCGCCGGTAGGCAATCGTTCAATTGCACCAGTGCAGAGCGCAGTGTTCTCCTTCTGTGCTTAGAATCCTTCGAATGACCTCTGCTGTCCATGATTGATATGGAATAAAGTGAAAAATTTAGGAACTACACCTGATCAGATCTAAGTTGAAACTCCCCCAACCCATACTTACCGACAAGACCCTTTAATTGACATTCAACACTGATCTAGTATACCAGTATGAAAAGAGCTTATTGAATGATTCTCCATCTCCCTCAAAAGCTGGTCAACTTGGTGACCTGCTGACTTGACCTAATGAAGATTTTTCTCAAACGCGAAAGGTTGCCACTCACAAGGTTGCTGAAAACTCTTCGACAGTCCACGACTGGTTTCACCCTTCTCGGAGCTCATCAGGTAGGCGCAGTCTCCAAGTTTCCTTCAGCCTTATTTTCTACTTGAACCCAAATTGGACTAATTTCGACAAATACACTCATTTGCAAATCGATTTAATTTTCACGGGAGACTCAAGTGAATCTCACGTTTATGTTGTTCTTCAGCTCAATGTGCTGCACACATGACGCCTCATCTTTCAGTTGGTACGATATTCGAGATATCGCGGAATATTTTCATAAGGGAAACTATTAAATGCAGTTGAAGAACATCATAAACGAGAGATTCACTTGAGTCTCCCGTGAAAACCAAATTGATTTGCAAATGAGTGTGTTTGTCAAAACGTTGCCCAGTTATACACTACCGATTGCTTACCAAGCCATTCTGAAGCGATGACTACTCAATCGGTTCCAAACTTTTTCCAAGAGTTGTCACCTCTTCTTTAGAAAGCTAGAAGATTAAAGACGTCCTAATCGGACGGAAACACTGGTATCCCTGACCGGATAGACTATACCACGAAGTATGACTAAAAGGACAAGAGTGCATGACTCTTAGGTCTTCGTAGAGATGCTACCCTCATCACAGGCTTTTCATTTCTTTGGCCCATTGATGAGTCAGTTAATTCTTTCGTTGGAAGACAACAAATTGTCGTGCAATGATGTCGAGGATCGATGTTGAGGATCGCGTAAACTGATGCCCGATGTTTGAGATTTGTTGAAACTTTTCGAACAATCGGTAAGGTTGTCCACCACCGTCAGGAATGCGTTCTCCAGAGACAGTGCTCAAATATTCGTTTTCTGGAAGCTCGTCACAAATGGCGAAACAACTTCGCGTAGTCGCTAGTGCTTGTGGCCGCTTCCATATCAGTATAGTGGCGATGCTTTGTGTGCGGTGTGATAGTTGGACGAGTTTGACAGTCGTATCTTGTTGACCTAGTTGGATAACGTTATTCGAGTCCAAATCCTTCCGACTGCGTGTGGTCCTGGTGTGGCCAGAGGTAGTACTGTGAATCACACCAGTCTTATCAGCTCATTAGGTTTTAACACGGTCTAGCCCATTTGAGCACGTTGCGGATTTTTCGCAGATGCCACGAAATAGAGATTGGTGACAATACGGACAATGAGGAAGTGTGGTATTCCGTTTCCTCGTTGGGGAGAATTCGCCAAGTGTGATCCTTGTGATGCTGGGAGCGCGTATATGTGGCGCACAAGCGACTCGGGCAAGCGAAGTCAACAAACCTGTCACGAACACCGTCATTATGCCATGAGAAGGCAATAAATGAGACTTTCTCAGTGGATGCCATGTGATAGCAGGATTTTTCAGGGCTCACTGATAAGTTTTTGTACGGTGTAAGGGACTATTTCACTCATTTCCAAAAACGTCAACCGTCAACCATATTAAATTAGGAGTGCTGAACTTTCTGAAAACCTCACCTTCGGAACTCTCCTAGGTAAGTGACTGTTATGAAAGTGAACAATTCGTTATTGTCAAATGGCATACGGTTGCACTCAAGAGGCAAGTCAATAACTTGCGTCAGGCACCGCTGAAATCTACTTACAGTTAATTTTTCTGCCCAAAGTAGACTATGAGTAAATTGTCCAAATTCGGTGGTGTTCTCGAAAGCACCGTTTTCAGTTGGGTGCTTAATTGCACACGTATTTCGTTTGCATACATCGACTGACCGGAACCTAGGAAAGTCGTTGGGGCTTTCAAGTTCGACTAAACTTGAATGTAATTCAAGCTAACCGTGAGATTTCATGAATTAAGTTTCGTGTGGTGTTCAGTTGGACACATTCGACAGTGTGCTAGTCTTAATTTACATGAAACATGCATCTTTTAATCGGATGGTCTGTTCAACAGACACAAACAAGTTCACAGACATCCAAGACAGATTAAGTTGACAAACCGCCAGTTTTGTCACAACCGAATACCTAGCCATAGGTTAATTGGTTATTTGATGAGCAGCTTGTTAGAGCGACGGAGCAAGGTTGTGTCAAACGATCGAACTCCGCTTATAACACACCTACCTCAGATGCGGATAAATTATCGAGTGTGCAGTATGAGCCCGGCTCCAAAGCAAACCACCGGGTTCAATTAATTGGAATCCATTCACGGATGTTCGATCCATTGAACCTCTACTTCGCGGACCTTCAAGTGATCAAATATGCAGTCAGTTGCCATTCGATCCACTCAACTTTTAAACGGCCATTCAAATCATCATTTTTCAAAGTGGACGACTGTAGTGTTCACACAAACATTTAATTCATCGAACAAAGCCGACTCGTTCCTCTGGTGCGAAATATGGAATATTCCTGTAGCCTCTATCTCTACAAATCATCTTCCTCTGCCAGTTGAGACCCTTATTTGTTGGAAATTCGGCCAGATTCTTACATTCCATACAACGGTCATGGTAGTACCGTAACCCAATGATGCCTGGCAAAAGTGAGGGAAACAGCCATTGGCAGAATCCAAAGATGCAATGAACCCAATGAATGATGGACTCATTCAGCTGGAACAGAGCGTATTTGCGTTCCAGCTCGTAAGTAATCCAGCGCAAATGGTGAGCAGTCTTAGATCTTAACGTACTGTCACCAATAGACTATGGGAGCTGCCCAATATCTGTACGCACCTACAGGAGCGAAACAAGAATTACAGGACAGCAGCGCCTTCATGCTGTATCCATTGCCGGTGATATGATAATTTCCAAGTTCTGTGTTCCATTATCTAAGTTATAATTCGTAAAAATGTACCTGTAGCGCCTGTTCACACATGACGACCAAATTGTATTGTTTTGGGCAGTCCCTGGCGAGTGTGATTGTACGATACCGTGTGGACAGTGTGAGATCACACGTAAGTAAAGTTGACGAATGAAATGCTAATGTCCACTACGATATCACCATCCTTAGGTCGGTTGATAACTGACAGCACGACTTCGAGTTGGCCTGTCGCCCTTTTCCCTTCGGATTCACACCGGACTCACAGGCTCAACTCGCAGTAGCACACCCGGTTGTGCGCAAACCGCTTTTGCTATCATAGTTATACACAGTGATACAGCAAATCTGCATCGGATTCTATCCAACCAAAGGATCTCCAAAACCATGGACAAGTTTGAGAGGATGTTTCAGAATTTGAGAACTTGATGCTTGTTTGAGAACGGCACAAGATAGCTAAGACGACTGCTTCGTAAATTAGAACACAGACGTTGAACCGAAAATGTGACCTCTGCTTATGAAATCTGACTATTAAAGATGATTCAGTATTGGGCTGAGTAGAGTACTCGAAATGTGACCAAGCCAATGATATGAACGAAAAAATTTCCAGTTAGTGAATGGTGCTAAGATTCAAGTAACAAACAACTGGTGTCAAAAACCGGTCATCGTCGGAAACCTCTCATCCTGAACTTTACAGCACAGTTTTCTCGAACACAAAGAGAAGTTGTGCGGACTCATGCCCGGCTTTCTGCTGTTAGCCGTCTGGGTCTGAGTAGAAGCCGAGGAAGGTGAAGATAACAGATGGTTGTGATAATACTGCGTGCAACACACCGCAGTAATAAATGCATATGAAACGGCTATTCTGCTTCACTCCCTACAGCTAGTACAATGAAAGTATGAACATAGATAGGAAAACTGTGCGTAGGGATACAGCTTCTGAGGAAAGGCAAAGAACATTAAACACTCCACAGTGAAACATAAAAACGTCCAGATTCTAGGTACTGTCTTACTTGAATGTCCGTATGTGTCATTTGTGAAGTCCAACTTCGCTGTGGCAGTCGAAATAAAAACGGGCTCCATGTGGACAAGGTAAACTCGGCTGAGCAGCATTCCCAAAAGTACACCGAAATTAAAGATGACTACAGTGCAGAGATTCAATTTGAATTCGCCCAACCGACCCATCCTGTTTACAGGATTGTGTCTAAAGTATAAAAGGAAACGTGCAAGCTGATAGGAGGTACGAATAAAAGCTTGTTTCGAATAGCAAACAGACCTCGTTATGGGGCAGAAGCTGTTAACTTCATCACACTGTCTACTCGTGCTACACTGACAAGAGTAAAATTATCCAACTTACACATCACCCTACCCTGATCATCGGCGTTATCTTCCTGTTGAAAGGAGACTGATAGATGTTACGCGCCTCAAGCAGCGTGTGAAGATGTACTAAATCTGACTTCTGTAAGAAACGCTAGTTGATTGAAAAGATACAGAATTAGGTCCAATCGTGGCGGCATTTCATAGTAATAACTGCTTGAAGAAATATTCAGATAAATGTGCACACCTGGTGCACAACCTATAGTGTAGATTCAAAACATCTACTTGGTCCAGTGGTATTGTATACTCAGTCAGAAACTATGACGGTAGTAACTTAGGAATCAAATGAACATCTCGTTCGTGCTAGTCCCCGGTCAACTGCATTGCACCATGATGATCTTGTATCTTGCCTGGAAAGACACTCAATATATCTGAGTGCTTCTCTTGATATTGGACTGCTAATAAGAGTTAGGTGAGAACTCTTGGACAGACCATTGCTGGTTTCGCTCCTTTTGGGTCTTACTAGGGAGGTTGTCCAACTGGTTATCCATGCCACTCTATCTACAATGGATACATTCAACCTACCTTAAGAGTTCCGCTGAGTATGTCACTGAAATACCACAAATAGTGGGCCTAACGGTCCAGCAGGTTTCTGATTTCTATTACTTCAAACAGTGCCACCGACCGTGGTGGGATACCGAATTAGTTTTCAGTTTGCAAAAAAATAAAACATCGGTAATCATTTTGGTGACGTAGCCAGGAGCATTATTTCCACTATTTGAAGCCTGAATGGCACTGGGAACCTCCTCCTTACAAAACGCAGGTTCTCCAAACTGTGAATAAGGACCTTAATGAATCAAACAACTGCAAGTTTATCCATCAAAACGAGATAAGCCTCACTAGTTCTACCGGAATTTCACTGTTTCAACCGTCACAAATATTATCGTGGAAATAGACTTCAACACCCACACGAATGCTTCGCTGCCGTGGAAATATATTTTATATAAATGAAGCTTTAAATTTGGAGACCACAGTTGACTCCCTCCTACCCCAACCATTTTGAATGAACTCGGATTAGCCCGGCCGTTAAAGCGGGCGAATACTAACTGGAGTATCGGTGGTTCACACCCGATCCCGGCTTTTCGATTGCTTCTTCCTAGGCTTGAGCGACCCGGAAGTACCCAACTGTTCGTGGTTTCTTCGAGTTGTGCAGCAGATACGTTCCAAAAGGGCACCACTATTTTGTATTGGTAGTGGTAGTACTGGCCTCCTCGTGGTGATGACTGGGTAGCACGGATGTCAGTCTGAGTGGGCCAACACTTTAGCAAGTCCAGATAACGCAAATCAATCTGTTTGGTTTCAACGCGCTGGTTAGGTTCGAAACAATAAACAGCACGATCTAGCTGGCACCTATGCTCCAATTCCAACCAGCATACAGTAGAGATTCGTTGGGCTCATGTGCGACTGTAGCAAGTGCTGCAACTCGGGAACTGACTCGGTAGCCCATCGTCGAATTCACGTCCGTGAAAGTATTGGCACGGACATGGTTGCCCAGTTGGCTTGCAGTGATTATTCTGGCCACTGTCCGACAAAGATTTGCCTAAGTCAATACCGGCGACACGCACACCCCACCCAGGATAACGCACATAAGCTTGGCTGAGTTAAGAATTTCGGTGCCCGCTGGTTACAAGAGTCACGGTCACTCTTGCGGATGGCTAACAAGTTGTCTATCTCGTGACACACGAACCCTGTTGTTCGTGAGACTGGAACAATATTTTATTGGTTGACAGGCTATCAGTATCAAAACCAGGTTACACGTGCTTACCCGGCAAGCACACCCGACCGCATCGCATCTGGTGGCCCCGATAAAACCAGCGGTCAAACAGCTTCACATTCGTCAGAGTCTGAGGACCATAGCGCCCTGTTCCAACAAACCTGGAATGCACGGTGTAACTCTTGGAATCCAATTTTGGCAGTTTCGATCGCTAATGTTGGCCTTCTGGCATTTCCCCAAATGGTTGCAGTCTGGCTTCATGACACCGGAGCAAATCCTGTCGCTTCTGGACCGTAACGCATCCGGGACATTTCCACACATGTAGAAGCCTGTCTCCAGGCGCCGTCATCAGCAAGTCCTTCTTGTGCCTGACAACCGATAGCATATGTTCCGATGCAACAGGGCCGCCATCCAGATTCTATACCACCAAAAGACGGGAAGATGCAGCGTCTGCTGTGCCTGATGCTTCGTGGAAGGAACTGCATAAAAGTGGCACCGACCGACCTCTAGGCGCCCAGCAGTACTGGAAACCACTGCATTCTGCTTCAGAACACGCGAATGGCGCTGTGAGCAGGATGAGGAAGTTGGTCGTACTATCACTTTATCGGGCGATTCGTCCCAGGTCTGGGCAAGCTTACGCCCAGGATGCTCCACCGGTTCAATGTTGAAGTGATGCATGGGTATTTCAATAATCTTATTGTCTGAGGGTTGTCCGCCGCATCTGTGCCGTGCTTGTGTTTCCCTAGTTCCGAAGGTTCCAAATCCAAATTAACCGGACCAACTGAGACCTATCTCCACGTCATATATTCATGATCGATACTTTCATAAGGAGCTCGCTGATCGCTGGAGCCGTAATTTGCAACTGCATTTACTCCAGTTTGCATTGCAACTCTAAGACGGTTGTTTGGAGGTTAGATCGGTGTTACACTCCCTGCTTCTCCACTCATAAGCGACTGCTTCTAATCTCAACCTCGCGTTTGTTGATATCCTGAAGGCGTTTGATTCGGTTTCACATGAGGCAACTGTCAAATATGCCGCGGCGTAGTGTATTCACCTCTGGTTCAATATACCGATTGGTCGTGTGGGAATGCAGTAGAAATTTCCTACATTTTCCATATTTCATTGCTGGAGGTTAGAGGCATGGAGATCCACTCTCCTCAGCATTGTTCATCATGGGAATGGATAATGTTCTTGGATTGTTAAGGCGGCATATAGGATACCAGTTCCATGGCACCTAAGTGGATAGTTCTGCCCTCGATGACTACCGGGCCGTGTGCGCAGAAAGTCAGGTTTACCTTAAGGAGGAGCTTGAATCTGTTGCGACCGGATTGGGAAAAGCTGGGATGACTATCAACGCCGACACATGGCATAAAGTGAACATTCTTGCAGTTGAATGTTACACCTGCCTCTATATGACGGACATTTTTGCCTGATTTTCGAGTCTTGACTGTGCTAGCATCTGATGTGTTTTGAAGAGCATTCAGCATTAGTTGCCAATTGTCCTACTGGAAACTATTGATGACACGCCTTCAAATAAAACGTTTATCCCGTTTTATCCACTGTTCTCCTGTACACTCTTCTACGTTCACTGCTTCTCAAAAAATAAACGTTGATAGTAGCAGGCATTTAGTTACTCATTGCTTTGGATAGTACGCTGAGATAAAAAAACGGCAGTGAAGAACAGACATTCAATGCGACCCAAAGGTCACACTAATCAGATAAAATCATGGTTGTGCACAACCACTAACCCACCGCTACGCACAACTACGCACTGATGATGTCACCTCGATTGGTGATGAAACGTTTGCAACCAAATTGCCCAGCTCAGCGAACAACCCAACGACCATCTACGCCACCTGAGCTACCGACATTCTTCTCTATAGAAGATAAAATCATAACAACTGAGGAATATGGGACACAACGAGAGTTTGACATGAAGGATTACCAGGATAGGGAAGTGCAGTCATTACAGGCAGCAGGTTTGCGCGATTAAGCAGAAGCTTCTGACTATCCGATTAGGACTTTGGAAACCCGGAAGAAGACTGAACTAGACCAGATGGTGGGCTATCAACAAATAAAAAGGCAATCTAGGGGTCACTATGCATCGCTATGGAGCTCATTTGAAGACCATAAATGAGGCGCCCCCTCTTTCTTTTTCCTGTATCATTATGGTACTATTCGGCTGAACGAGACATAAATGTTGATCAAACTAATCAGTATTTAAGAGAATCATGACCTTGAAGACGTGGATGTCAGGTTTGGGGGGAGATGTACCTCAAATAGCTAACATTTATTCTACTCAAGGACTTTTAAAAAGTTGTTTTATGTTTCCTTTTGTGGTTCAATATACGGAGCATGTAAACCGAGATGAAATTCGTTCGGTATGAATGTCTACATTAATCTACATTTGGGTTTTGTGTAGTCATTCTATATCCTCGAAAAAGAGACCTCCAAAATCAGAGTGAGAAATAAACCATTCTTCGGATAGCCTACTGGAATGAAAAGATGTCTATCTGATGGTACAATAACGGCAGTTGCACTGGCTCACGGATTTCCGCTTATCGCGCTGGCAGTTTCAGGAATGGTGTAACAGTAATCTAATGAGTTTTTCCCGGACACTTGCCTTAAGAGAAGATATAAGTAGTCACTGGTAGTATCCGCTACTGAGGGAGCGTGGACTACTCTTATTAACACTCTTGTATACCAGGGAAAACGCGAATTAAAGGTTCCTACATGGAACAGTGGAAGTAGAGGATAGAGAGCCATCGAGATTTGGTTTGTATGGTCACGGTGGTGAGCTAAGCATAACCCAACATACGTGGTAAGTAACTGCAGGAAATTTGATAAAGACTTCCCCGTAGCACTGTACAAATGGTAGCACCAGTGAATTGCACAAAAAAACCGAGACTATCTGGATCTCGAACTCATGGCTACTATGTAAAAAAGACTTGGATATCTCACTGGACAGGATAGTGTCGCATTCGAATTTAAACCGAAAACGAGCGTCAGCTAGTCCACACAGAGCACAATTCCCTCAAAATAACAGGTGATAAATCAATTGATTAATGTAACAGTACTCCGGACAGCTTTGACAGCGGTCTACTCGGACCAAT